GTCAGAGTATGTAAAAAAGGACTACAATTTTGAAATGGCCGTAAAGCACTGTATTTGAACTCAGTGCATACATAATAGAATTCGCGCACTTCGCTAACTGTAATTTCATTTGTACTCGCCGCATTTGCATAATCTTCCATATTAATAGAGAGGCAAGTAAATAGAAAAAGTCACGGATGTTTTTAGCGTATGTGCTCTTTGTTGCTCGCGCAAATATTGCATAAAATAGCTTTTTCATTTCTCTAACCCTTAATAGTATTATGATATGTCTCTTTCATGTGCTCGCTAATTGCATCAACAATGTTCTTACTTTCGTTCTTTCTTTTTTTAACCTGGCTTAGTCTTTTTCGTGATTCCAAAGTCATCGCAATGAACTTCATGAGCACTGCTTTCAACTCTACAAAATGGTTGTTTATGGCACTATCATCACAATGTAACAGCATTCTTCTGATGTTTTCTAATTTGCTTAGTTCATGTTGATTCCAGATGAAATCAATTACTTTAAATAGTTTGCTAGTGCTGGGCCGATCATTATTGATACCTTGAAACATGTATCCATGTGTTTGTTTGTAGTGTTGCAGATAGCTTATCGATCCATGATAGATATTTTGAGATTCATTTCTCTGAAGACATGTGCTAGTTGCTTTGCTATCATCAGGATTATCCACATCAACTGGATTGATCAAATCAGCCATATTTCTAGCACAATTTTGCAGTGTGCCGTCAGAATCGCTGCAATGCATCATTTTTATTACGCAACTAAAAGTGAGTCGAACCATAATTTGGTGCATGTATGGCAGTAAAATTGCCTTTTTATACTTTAAATATCTAATTTACTTCAATATCATTCTGTCAAATTTTCACATTCCCATTTGTATTTAATAAGAATAGTCCTAACATATCGGCATACAACATTGTAAATCCCATTTTACAGAAGTATTTGCACTATTATTATTTATTTCTTGCGTGTTTAATCCAAAAAGAAATGATTTTATGTCCTTGGTAGCAATTACGGAAAGTGGCAGTGAAGACTAAAAATTTTTGATTGACCTTTTATCGCATGTGTTCATTCCGAGCAGCGAAGCAGAATGAGCTACAACTTGGCAATATCTCCAAAACCAATAAACTTACAGCAGATAATGTTATACAAAGGAATTGACATGCTGCACACGCTTACTTGGCACTGAACAACCTTTATTGGCATCTACCATTGCTTGATAAGAAATATTTGTCAGAAAGTCGTTTATCCATCACCACGCACCGAACCGAATAAAAAAACACGCTTTCCTGATCAACGGATGCAGAACATTGTTTTCGTTCTATTTTGTACTCTTCATGCATTCTAACAATTTAGTGAATACCCATTTCAACAACATTTCTTCTCCAAGAACATTGTGGCTGAAGAATAAATGAATGACTAAGCGCGCACCTATGATATTTTACAATGATAATGTTGGATATTATGTAGAATATTCTACAAGTAATGAATAAAATATTATCAGCATATAAAATTGATTGCATTATTTGTTCTATACCCGTTAGATAGAAAGGAAGTATAAATTATATTTTCTCGAATGTATGTCTTACTTAATACTGTTTTAAGAATTGTATTGGGTGGTTACCTGCTGTTACGATATTTTTGCGAGTTTTGGAGGTTTCAATTGTCTTTTTGTTGCATGACAAAAATAGTAAATTGATCGTCTATTGTTGTCTTAGAGATGACAGACCAGGAACTAACTTTCGAAGACAATAATTAATTTTTTGTGAGTGTTGTAAGAAAACGAAAAGAGAAACACAGGTATTAACAAGCGTTGATATTAGTGTGCTGAATGTCTGCAATTCATATGCCCTTCCAAACAATCTTTTCCGTGTTATGCACTACGTGTTACACAGCCTGGTAATGCGAGTTTATCGATTCACTAAAAAATGCATTCAATTGTATTGTTTTTGATATGTTCAACACAGAACAATAAGCAGGATTTGTTGTATGTAAAGATTGGTTAACCGAGTAATTCACATAGAACAGTGTTTTGTTGTCAAAGTATCTATATCTCTAGCATTTCGGTTTTTACTCCAATGTAATCTCCGGGATACCAAATGAAAAGAAAATAAGTTACGGTAAAAACTACAAGGCCACAGTAATATATCAACTGAACTGCCAATCTGACAAAACATATGTTTGTGTTTTTCCTGATAAGCCTATTCTCAGCAAATATTGTAACGTGGCTGCAGATCTATAATTATGCTTGCCCATGATTTCTGTTTATCTCGCGCTCCCTTCTAAGTGCATTCTTTGGAATTATGAATAGTTTTGAGTAAATTCTTTCGGCATTTTAAGATGCAATTAACATACTTGATTATTTGTTCTTTTATTTATATGATACTAAATACCGTATCTGTCTAGTAAACACAAAATTGCTGTAAGATGTTTGTACATGGTACTTGTATTTAAGTTGGCTGTATTCTGGCTCGCTGACTCTTATGTTCAGCTCAGCACAGGTCTTGTTCAAAGCCTTCTTGCAATGAGAAAACATTCTGTACCTCTGTCGTCACCATTCTAGTAGCAGCCTAAGATCACGATCGAATTTGTAGTGATGGCAGGTCACAATAACACGTTTGTATTTACTACACAGCCTATTTGTAGACATAAAAGGAATATGTCGGCGAAGTAGTATTGCCAACACATCATTTATAGTGTTCGATGATATTACTATTGAGTCATATTATGAGCTGAACATGGTTGTTCAAAAATTGTATTCGAAAGCGTAATTTATTCCACATAGCTGTGAATGTCATTTACGAAGACATATAATGTCCTCTGAATGCTTTGCATTAACATGTTAATATTAACTTATAGAGAAAGTTTTGTTCATATGACTATGAAAGACTAATTCACGTGTTGAAACACGAAAAAGCTAGCAACTGCTGCGTACACTTCATAAAAGATTGTGTTCATTTGTGCTATAAATGTACTGCAAACATATCATCTTGATATCTATCACATTTTGACTCGGTTATAAAAATGCTGTTTATGGAAAGAATGAATATAATTTATAAATTAATTTTAAACATTATCTTCTTTATATGATACATGAGCAAATTGGCGAGAGAAAATCAGTGAGTACTATCCTATCGGTTTTTTATTCTGCTGTTGATATTTGATACTATTTTGCTATTATCTTGTAATTTACCTGATTTGGAGAGAAGATAAAAAGAAATAAAAAGGGATTGGCATGCAAATGTTCTTGATACTTTCATTGTGCAGCTGTGCATGTTGGAATGGCAGCTCAAACCAGGACCAAAACAAGGAAACGAATGAGGCGTATATTGCACAACATAATCTGTACGATAACAGTAGTATAGAAGAGTTGTGTAACAGCTACCTTGGAGAAGCGGATGTGGATAAGCAAGAACGAAATTCTGTGACTAAGCAACGTGATTTAACTGGACACACTTCCACAGAAAGTATACCCAGTTCGATTGCTAATGATATCCTAGATATGATGCAAATGTCTGAGTCACACGTTAAAAGTTACATTCCACTCCTTTCCAATGATGCCGAAAATTGCACTGGATATTCTGATCGTACCAGCAGCCATAATCTTGAAGCTACCAGGTGTTTAAAGCGGAGAAGGGAGGAAAGAGTACAACCAATGTTGATACAGCAGAAAAACTCAGTAGGACCAACTGCTGGTGATTATACGGTAGTGTCACAAGCAAAAACAGCAACAAGCGTTTACGAGCCACAGAACAAGTATCGAAGTGGATCACTGCTACAAAGCCAGACATTACATCCCGATCAAGTTCAACCACCACATCTTGAGCCGATCAATTCACCATACCCAAGTCGCGCTTCATATTCACAGTTTGAGACAACCAGTCCATCACATCTTGAACCAATCGATCTGCCCACTACTGAACATTCAGCTGATCCAAAAAATGACACAGAAATAAACTACGATATGGATCCAGAGATACAAAGAATAATGCAGTTTATGCAAAAAGATAAAAACTTTAACAAAGGATTCTCGCCATTATTGGACACATACAAATATGTTATAACTGATGAACATCAATCAGCCAGCGTGTATCAACGATATAATGGACCGAAAGAGAAGACATGCACTCAGTTGAATATGAGGAACACGCTTGTTCAGAACTTTAGCTGGAATATCTATGAACATGCACACCAAGTTCAAGATATTATGGATGCTCGGCTACAGAGCTTTGGCTGTTTATGTGGATGGTTCGACGGACTTGAAATGATTACTAGACAAAAATGTTTTAAGTCTCTCTTTATGATGGGATACCAAGTAGAAGCATTATGTGAAAGCTATAACAGATTGAAAAGAGAAGTTTACATTTTGTTATGCACGTTTCATAATTTTGACTCCAATATCGCGGTGTTTAATGCAGTGATGGTTTTTACTTTCGAAAAAATGCATGGCAATAACAACCAAAAACATAAGAATATCATTGCTGCATTTAGTAGTACCAGAATAGGCTTACGAACAAGGATGTTGATAATAGCACGTTACATCCTGTCCATAGGGAAGGCAATCAGTGTTCGAATAGGAGTTTTATCAGGAAGCAACGTTACAAATGGAGCTTCAACGAGAGTGCAAATGCCTAAATGGCAACAAACAGAAGAAGTAGCAAACGATGGAAGTGCCGGTACAAATCAAGAATGTGAGATGTTTTACCGCAACATATTTATAAAACCAGCTTATGATTTGATGCAAGAAGTGAAAAGAGAGAATGTTCGATTGCAAGAAGCAACAAATCATCTTCTTATGCTCCTGACATATGATGATGATCCGACCACCTGAGATGAAAATTAAAATTGATGTTGATCGAAACGACAGTAAACTTGTGATAATTTGATACATACAGTGCTATTTTTGACACTATAACCGGTGAAATAATTGTTGTATGTGTAATTGTTTCGTATCGAAATGTGTGTTTGTTCACTATCTTAAATATTTGACAATCTTTTATTATTGGATTTATTTTCCAGGCCTGAATCACCGCAATAATGCACTGAAGAACGGTATTTGACTCTGATTTGAGTCATGGCTTGGTATAACCCTGATCTTATAATTTCATAGGTTCGCCTAGGACTCGGTATCAAGCCCTTCTAATCTGGAATAATTTGTTTATTGTGAGTTGTGGTTCATCCAAATGATAGAGAAATACAAGAACACATTTGTTGACTACATCATGTGTGTGTAATTGCTCTTGACAGTGGCTACAACATAGAGGTACAATTTGTAGTGGTACCTACAACAAGCTTATCTACAATACATTCTTTTCGATAGAACACAAGTTCATTTGTTAATTGCTGGGCACAACATAGATTCTTTCAATGCCTTGTCGCTCGTCATATTATCCGCTTTTCTACTAGTGAATACTACGAGGTCATAAATGCTGTATGTTATGATATTATCAATATTTGAGTAGTAGTGGATATGCCTGATGCTCCACTAGGACAACATGACAGCAACACGTGAGACAATATTGATGCTTTGTGTATCAGCTGATTGCATGCATTATCACACTGTGTCTGATGCATCAAAGGATATTCAAGTGATGATAGAAGATTGATCTGAGCGGTAATCATTGATAGCATTATATCACAAATCATGGTGTCAAGTCTAACGGCACGACAAACAAGTAATGCGAGTACGGGAATCTAGCTCACAAGATATTCTAATGCCGATTAAATCATCTAAACTACTTCATCAGCAACCATATTTTCTTTACATAAATCGCATGCATGATCATATTGGTATGTCTAGTATTGTTTCTTCATCTGGTTTTTTTCCAACGACATCTCAGTTTACTTCATTCATGTGTGTACTATTTCCTTGTCAATGTTACATCTGTTTCAGTGGAGTATGATATTCACTGTTGTCACATGTATGATCAACATGTACATAACGGTAATACTCGCATCTGTCACATGTTTCTGTGATATCGCTCATTGAATGGTGATTTGTCTTCTCAATTTACATTTTTATGACCATCACATGTCTTTGCAACAGAAGAGCTATGCAAATTGTGATATGGAAGAAGTAGAAAAGAAAGAGCATGCTGGATCACTTGCATATGTTCAGTAACTGCACAGAAGGAAAATAATACACTGCATATAACGAAATAGTGACTAACATTGTCTTTTCTTTTGTCACGACTTTTTTATTGCACCAATATTTGTTTTCTTGTATGTATTTCTATGGTGTGTATTTGCCTCAACAACTTATAAATAGACACAGATCG